AAGTTATATGCCAACCTTCAAGATTTTTCCTTTTTATAATTAGATTATTCAGCTGTGTCAGAAGTGCTTCCAATTTTTGGTTAGACCAATCCTTTATCATAGTCCATTCTCATGTTTATCACTTCTCTCACTATTTCAGTCTTGGTTACTTTTTAAAATATTTTCTTAATCAAATTTCTTTCTTGAATCCTAATTAAGACTTATTTGCACAATTCATTGATTATCCTTCCAAGTAAGTACTTCACAAGTTGGGTGCAGAGATGTTGGTACTGCCTATATTAGAAGGTATAAGAATGTTGATGCTGCTCTAGTCTAAAAGACTTACATACGCAATCTTTTCATAACCATAACCTTCTGTAGCAACTATTTGTTATGCATAGTGCCTGCATTCTATGATTGGGTCTCCTTCTGAGAATTCCTATTTCCATTATTGTACTGCACTTGAACTTAACTACAGGGCTTCGCATTCAATTACAGGCTTTTTATTAGGTTACAAAAGCTAAAATCTTTCAATTTTGCCTTTAGCCAGACTTGAACTGTTGACCTTAACTGTAGAAGGTATAGAAGCTTAACTGCTAAGCTATGGGATCCACACTACTATATACATTATCATTATGCAATTACATTATTAATAATATAGTCAATTTGTGAAATATTGAATTCTGAAATTTTGTTATTACTAAAAGTATATAATATATAAAAAAAATTATTCAGAAAAATCTACAAATTTGAATAGTTACTAATAGCTCACTTATAATTTTATTTTTAAATTATTATAATATTATACTTTTCTATAATAACAGTAATGATAATAACCAAAATTTAATCTTATAGTAAAAATTATACTTATGTTATACTTTTTTATAGTAACAGAACTAATACTAGCTAAAATTAAACTCATAATAAGATTTATATTTACAAGTTTATATTATTTGATTACTAATTCTTAAATTTTTTTTTTTTTAATATATTTATAAAGCAATTAGATAAATGTATAGTAAAACTATTTTTTCTACTAATTATAGATGAACTGAAAAAAATTTGCTTATAAATTGTATTTTGATAATGTTTTAATTTCTGTAGAATGTAGATACTTTAATATTTGTAAAATATATAGCTATAAAATTTCTTCTAATCTTTTGCAATTAGTAATATTACTTAACTGCAAATACTTCTTTTACTAAAAATGTATTATAAAATATAATTGTTGTTTTTGCAAATATAAAGATTATAAAACACTAAATTGATATATTAAAATGTCAACTTTACATTGTTATAAAAAAATATTAAGCATATTATCTTTTCTAGTACAAGCCAATAAATGACAAGCACAAACTGATGAATAACAAGTACAAGCTGATGAACAGATGCAATTCAATAAACTATAAACACAAGATTATAATAACCAAGTACAAATTAATAAACAAGTGCAAGTCAATAAACTATAAGTGCAAGTATGTGAACAAGCACAAAGCAGGCAAGTACAAAGCAGACAAGCACAAGATGGGCAAGCACAAGATGGGCAAGCACAAGATAGGCAAGTATATGATGGGCAAACACAAAGTAGACAAGCACAAAGTGGGCAAGTACAAGAAAGACAAGCATATAATGAGTAAGTACAAGGTAAACAAATGTATATTAGGCAAGCACAAGTTAATAAACAAACTAATAAACAGATTAGTATTATTAAAATTTATTATATAGTATTATATAATATTTATATTATAAGATATATATTGAAAATTAATTTTAATTTAGAAAAATAAATTTGCAAATAATGTATTAAAACCTTTATTGATATTATTAAAAAGGTTATATAAGTCAAAAGTACCAAAAAAATAACAAAAGTTGTTAAGCTTCTAGTTACTCCTAATAGAACAGAAGATAGCAAACAGATCAAATTTTAGTTAACTTATTTAATATTGCAAAACAAGCTAACAAGCAATCTAAAAAGTCTAATTCAATAAAAATTAAAAAATAGTATGATTATGCTGAAGTTTTTAAGAATTAAGTAAAAGAATTAATAAGTAAGGATATAAAGAATAGAGCAGCTTATATACAAATATACAACACAATGTTATTTTATATAAGTTATCAAATAACAATAAGAAATTTTCATCAAATAATATATAAAGCACACAATATATTTAATATATCTAGTAAAATTAGTATTAGAGCAATTGACCAAGCTGAATGTTTTATAGCAAATTATTTTTCAGAATATAGCAATAATAATATTAAAAAAATTGTTAAATATATAAAGTATAGAAGGATTAGTTAAATCATATAATCAAAATTAATATATATTTCATATAATTGCAATTAAATAAATTGAATTGGCATAACAAATAATTAGTAATGGATTAAAGTAATAGATAATAAGTAATAATAATATTCTGACTTATCAGGAATTAGTAAGTTTTTTTCTAGATTGTGTTATAGCTATTATTATAAATTCTAGAACATCTGTTTATTATATAAAATTTTTTTGATTGCTAGATAAATTACTTAACTCTTCATTTCAGATATAGTAATTTTTAAGAAGTTAGATATTTTGAATAATAAGTAAAGATCTCAAAATTTATAATAATAGATGTAATAATAATTTATATTGCTACTAATTAGCTATATAAGTAGCTATTAAGTTGCTATATGAATTATCATTAACACAATCTAGGAAAAAACTTTAATAAGTTAGAATATTATTAATTGTCATAGATAATTATAAAATTGGATAGTGTTAGTATTTGTAATCGATCCAAATTTATTAATTCAATTTAGTCAATATTTAAAAATCAGCTTAGCCAGCTAAGTTAAAGTTGATAATCCTAATTAGTTAATTAAAAGTATATAATTTTAAAGCTGTTTTTATCTGATAAAAAAATTAGCCAAATAATTATCAATATTAATAAGTTTTTTATTTAGGTATTATCAAATTACTATAATATCAAAAATATTATAATTTGGTCTAAACTTGATTAGTTACTGTAATTTTTAATATAACCTATTATAAAATTGACTCAACTAAGTTAATTTTTTGAAAACTTAGCTTAGTCAGCTAAGGTTAATTTTTTTAAAAAAAATCAGCTAATTAAGCTGGCTAAGCTGATTTTATCAACTAATACAAAATCAACTACAAATACTAAAGATTTATAAGTGACTTAACAATTGATATATGTATATAAATTATTTTCAATTAGATAATTTATCTTTATTAATATATATATAAATATCAATTAAATAAGATAAATTAGTATTTGTAGTCTATTTTGTATTAGTTAATAAAATTAGCTTAATCAGCTAATTTTTTTAAAAAAATCAACCTTAGTTAGCTAAGCTAAGTTTTTAAAAAATCAATTTACTCAATTTTATATTGATTATAATAAAAAAAAATATTCAAAAACTTTTGAAGTTTAATTGATTCTAACATAGCTAACTAGGCTAATTTTTAAACATCAACTTTGTTAAGTCGATAAATTTGGATTGACTACAAACACTAATGATCTTTCATAGTTTATATATATTTACTAATTATTAAATAATAATTTTTAACTATATATAAATTATAAAAGATCATTAAGTTACTTAACAGTCTTTTAATAAATTATTAAAAGATTAAAGAAGATCATTAAGTTACTTAATGATCTTTTCAATCTTTTTAAGATGCATTAAAAGACCATTAAATGACTTAATGATTTTCTTTAATTTTTTAATAATTTATTAAAAGACTGTTAAGTAACTTAATGATCTTTTTTAATCTTTTAATAATTCATTAAAAGGCTGTTAAGTAACTTAATGATCTTTTCAATCTTTTAATAAATTATTAAAAGATTGTTAAGTAACTTAACAATTTTTTTAATCTTTTAATAAATTATTAAAGACTATTAAGTGGCTTAACAATCTTTTTTAATCTTTTAATAAATTATTAAAAGACTATTAAGTAACTTAATAATCTTTTTTAATCTTTTCAAGATTTATTAAAAGACTATTAAGTAACTTAACAATCTTTTTAATCTTTTCAAGATTTATTAAATATCTCAACAATCTTTTAATAGTTTATTAAAAGATTAAAAAAGATTATTAATTCACTTAATAGTCTTTTAATAATTCATTAAAAGATTGAAAAAGATTATTAAGTTATTTAACAATCTTTTTTAATCTGTAATAAATTATTAAAAATAAATATTTGACAAATTTGATTCTAAAAAAAAATAAAGATAATAGAATTTTATACTTGGTGTCAAACATGTACCTTTAAAATAGTATTCTAAATTGATAAAAATTTTGCTAATTAACTAGTTGCCAACTATAATTGCAACTAATCAACTTTTATATTATATGACTAAATTTGTTAATTAGCTAATCAAATAAAAGAAATTAGCCTGAACAGACAGAATGTCTCATAATTGAACTAATTAATGATTTAGTTGTTTAGTTTTTTTAAAAATTTTTCAAATCAACTAGTTGAAAAGTTGTCAACTAGTTAATTTTTCAACTAATAATTTAAATTACTACTTTAGAAGACAATATAAGAATAGACAAGTAAAAATAAGAATATCAATAATTGTATTAAATAATTTTAACTTAAAGCTATGAAATATGAAGATATAATCAAATGAATTCCTTTTAATAGTTTAGTTAATATTTAAAAGAATAGTAATCGATTTTTAGTAATATGGTTAAATAAAATATGTTATATAAATTATAAATATATACAGACATATTTACTATCATGTAAAATAAAAATTAAAATATTGACACAAACACAAAATAATTTAAAAATAAGTTTATATATTTATAAAATCAGAATATTATATTAGCATCTTATCATTTGTAGAAAAGACTTATTGCAGAAGTTAGCATCTAATCATAATTTACAAAAGTTGGTTCAACTAATGGTTAAGTAATTAACATAATTAATTGTATAATTTATAGTTAAACTTATTTTGTATAATTCTGAATCTCTAATCAGAAATATATTAATTTAATATCAGTATTGATATAGCAATACTATATAATTATTATACATCACTAATTATAGTACTTCAGGTATTATTGAATAAACTATTCAATTTATCAAATTGTATCTGCTCAAGTAATAATTATAGAGGGCACTATAGCATAATTGAGAAGTTTGTTAAGTTAGCAACTAATTGTTAAATTATTAATAATTTAGAAAAATTTTGTAATCAAAGTATATTAGATAACAACTAATTATATAAAAAATTATAGGTTCATCTATAGAATAAGGTGTACTAATACACTTAATAGTCACATCGATTATCACATTACACAAATGTAATGAATG